CATCATTTCAGCATTGTGACATAGAGTATTTAAAAATACTGCAGGAAGTTACTTGGTTATAGTAGATAGGTTATCATTCAAGTAGTATTAGTAAATCTTATTAAAATTATTTTCTCAAAAATTTTTATGAATTCCTGAGCTAACTCCCCGGCCCCCTCCCTTCTTGGTATAAGGCATATAGGCATGCATGCATATATGTATATATATTTTGGTCATCCTCCACCAGGCCTTTTGGTGTGGGGAATCAGGCAAGATAGGCCAGCCTTTAACTCCAACATCTTTTTGGCATCTACACCCCTAGCTTTAGAGTATAAAAAAAATAAAGTGGAATGAAAATGTTTATTGCCTGTTTTGTCTATAGTTATCCATCAATTTAGGGGAATCATTACTACCTTTATAGTAACAGTAATCCCTTAGAAATATTGCCCATTCAGCCCTTTCTTTACTGGTTAAAATGATTAAGTGTTTTCTAGTTGTGTCTTGTTGTTGCTTGGGTTTGGGTTTTGGCTTTTAATTTTGTTGGTTGGTTGGTTGGTTGGTTGGTTGATTTTTAAAGAGAGGCTCTTGCTATGTAGTTCAGGCTGGCCTTGATTTAAAGTTACTGTGTAGCCTAGGCTGACCTCAGACTTGCTGCAGTCCTCCTACGTTAGCCTCCCGAGTGCTGGAGTTATAGTCATGTGCCACCATGCTGTCTTCTAATCAGTGCTTAATCATAAAAATTGAGGGAGTCATGCATGGTATTTTATTTATTGCCTGTCCTGCCCTGTTTACGCAATACTGGTTTCCTCATCTCTTGCCCTGTATTGCTCATATCCCAGGTCATCATGCGTTTAAATTTGCATTGTATTCAGAGCTAAATTTAAAAGTCACCTTTTACATGCTGTCATTCTTCATGAGTATTTCTGAAGCATCATTTCCCTTTTTTTCCCCTGCATTCATGCGGCTGTAATTTTTTTCATTGCATTTATCATTATTTTATATCTTTCTGGCTAGAAAATAAGTTCCATGAAATAGGGATTATTTTATTACTGTATATGGGTTATACTGTATATGGAATAGTACTTGAGTATAGCAGGAGCTTAATAAATACTTACTGAAAGAATTTGATAAATTCTGTGCCTTTAGCTTAAGTGGTATCAAGTAATAGAGAAATTAAGCTTCCACAGAAAATGAACAGAATCTTTTCTTCCATAGGCATAAGTAAAGGATTCTGAGTTTTATTTCGATTGCATGCATTTCAGTCAACATTCCCATTTTTTCTAAGGAGTAGACAACATAGGCAGTAAGATGAAAAAAATGCATCATGTATGTGTAGTGTTCAGGAATTTCACATGGAAAACACACATAATGAAACAATATTGCATTGGAAATGCTATGACCTAGGTGTAAAGAAAATACTCTGCCAGCACAAAGAAAGATCTCTTCATTTGTTTGAGAAAAATAAAATGTTCTTGATTAAAAATAGTTTGAAGCGAAGTGGCTAGTAATAAAATCCCAAAAGTCACATCAATTCTTCCTACCTCCAGATGCTTATTTTCATTTTCATCTTTATCAGAAAACAAATGAGGAGTGACATTTGGTCTCCTCCAGAATACTAGCTTGGAGTGTTCAAGTATTTAAAAAAATTGCCACCTTTCTAATGACTGTCTTCTTGATAGTTCCGTTTTCCTTATCTTATTCTAGCATACATAGCCATGTGCCTTTCTCACACATGGCAAGGCTTGATAGTTTGACCTGTGAACTGCCCTTGGTACCTAACAATAAATAGATATAGTCATGTGTAAGTTGAATTCAAGAAGCTCAAGAAGTAGCTCTGTAACAAACTTCAGTATTTGAAGTGATTATTTAAGATCAGTTACGCTCAAAATACGTTCCCTAGACCAGCAGCATTTAGGAATATTCAGGCACCATCCCTGACAGAAACTGTTGGGAAGCTAAGGCTCAGCACTATTTGTTGTAATAAAGCTTTGGTTGTTCCAAAATTTGAGGACCATTGTTTTAGATCATTTTGTATAAGTAAAATTTTGCCACTTTAATTTATTGGATGAGCCCCATTTCAGAGAAATTAAAATATATACTAAAATCAGAATAAAAATCAAACTAAAGATATCTGTATTTCTCTTAGACTTACACTAACTCTAGTTTAGATTGCTTGAACTATAGACTATCAGTTGTGTAACTTGATTCAGAAAATATGTCACTTTCTTTTTCATGGTTATATAATAGTCAAACTAATGGGATAGGTTGGAAAGTGCTTTAAGAATCAAGTCACTGGGCCGGGTATTTAGCTCAGTGGTTTTTCCGCCTGCCTTGCAAGCACAAGGACCCAAGTTTGATCCCTGGTACCAAAAAAAAAAGAATCAAGTCACTGAATCTCAGGACCAGTTGACAAAAAGTTGTGGGTTTTTTGTTTTGTTTTTTTTTTTTTTTTTTTTTTTTTTTTTTTTTAGTCTTGTTTTAATTTGAATACTAAGGATTCATTCACGATGCAAAGCTATTTAAAGATTATCTGTACTAATCTCCTTGTCTTTCACCAGCAGTTCCCTTCAGTGTAAAGAAGGCGTCCCATTTTGGGTTTGTCTTTTTCCACTTAACATTCTATTTATATCTAGAAAGTGTTATAGGCAAAAGTGAATATATAAAGTGTCCTTTTCTGAATATCATATATTTTTGGCATACATTTGAGTGCTTACAAAGTTATTACTGTAATTGATATGTATTTGATATGTGCATTGTATCATTCTTTAATTGGAGATAGGAAGAGAAAATAGAAACTAGACTGTTGATTTGTGCTGGGCTTGTCTTTTTTTTTTTTTGGTACCGGGGATCGAACTTGGGTCCTTGTGCTTTGGGCTTGTTTTATATATTCATTTCCAAAACTTGTACATTTAGAAGTTTGTTTCTGATTCTTTACTGTATACAAGAATGGTATTTATGAAAGTTTTTCTGAATATAATTTTTAGTGAAATTCATATTTAATGATCTAAACGAGTATAGAAGGGATAAGGTTGTTATTCCACCTTGCAAATTTAATCTGTAGAAACAGTGGCATAAATTTGGGGGATGTATTTATATCTTTCTGAAGCAGCATATTGTATGGGTTAAAGTAAAAGCGGAAACTCAACATGAGAATACCCGAGTTTAAGTTCTGGCTTGAAACTTACTGTCTACCTTGGGCAAGTTACTAAATTCTCTGAACCTCACTGTGTTTATATATGTAATAGTGACAAGAACAGTGCATAGCAAATGGAGCCACTGTGGATTTTGATGTAATAATGGAAATGATAGTGGTGGAGATGCTACTGTTGTCACTGCCCCATGAGTTGTGTGTTGTACTGTTATTTACAATAGCCTAAATAAATAAATGTATAAAAGAAACATTTGTGAAAAGTTGGTGGTAGAAATTGGTGCCTGAGACATTAAAAAATGGGACCAGCTGTAAAAGATTTGGCAATTTTCCTCTTGATGGTGGAGACCAATGGAAATGTTTTGTGTAAGGTAGTGAGTGACATGTAAAAGTTTGTTGGGAAGTATTTTAGGGCTGGGGACATAGCTCAGAGGTAGAGCACTTGTCTAGCAGACATTAGGCACCGGGTTTGATCTTCAGCACTGTGGGGGAAGGGAAAATAGTATTTTAAGAAGAAAAACCCCTGTGACTGTTAAGTAGAAGACACCGGAGTGAGGAAAGATAAGAAGTCAGTCACCAAGGAAGGAAGCTCTGTGAAAGTTAACAGAGTTGGTGAATACCGATGGCTAAATTCTTAGAGATGGATGGGGTGGAGGGATCCAGATGTAAAATGGAATCTTCAGGAGGAACAAGTGGGAAAGGTTTAATTTGTATCCAAGGAAGGTGTGGAATGAGGCGATTTAAAAATGGTACAGAACTGGGGCTATACTTCAGTGGTAGAATTCTTACCTAGCATGCGCAAGACCCTGGATTTAATCGCCAGCACTGCAAAATAGGGTCCATACATTCAAACATGTTTGAAGCCTATAATGAAGGTCTTTTGGGATTGTTGGATCTCTTTAAGGCATCCAGTGACTTAAATGTTGATTTGCTATCACCATGTATCTTGGGATCTTAGAATTTTTAAAGTTTGATTTTTTATGCATTTTATAATTTAGCCATTTTCACTATTAAGGGTACTACAGTAGTAAATCACTAGTATTCAGTTTTGAGATTCTGTTTCATTGTGGGAGTGTTTGAATATTTTAATTATTCTGGATCTCTCTTTTTTATTAGTATTAACTCCCCAAATCAGTTGTCTGGCTTCTATAATCTTAGGAAAGTAGAAAAATCTTAGCACTATGTTCTTTAGTTATATCTCTCAGATATTTAGTTTTCAGTCTGTAGCTTTGAAATGGTTTTGCTTCCCCTTTTGTTTTTAATAAATTTGCCTTCCAATAACTTTAGTGCTTATGTTGCCCTCTTTCAAAATGCCAACAAACTTAAAACTTCCATCCACAATCCTTCCTATTTTCTGGTCTACTTTAAAAAAACAAAACAAACAAACTAGTTTTTGGTATTATAGTTTTGTGTGTGTGTGTGTGTGTAACCCAGTCACTTTAAAATATTCATGATATTTTAGATGTTCAGAAACACTCGCATGTATTTCTTTCTAAAGAACCTTGAAGTCTCTAATGAGATGCTGTCACAAAACTGATTGGATTGGGGGTAAGTCCCTGAGCTGTAGCACTTCCTTGTCTTATATTACCTGTGATAATTATTTGGATCATTATTTGCAAAAGTTTTTTTTTTTAATATGACTTTTCCCCCCGTCTGTATTATTGAGTGTGTTGATTTTTAGTATTTGATGGTTTCTTTTTAATGGAGGAGAATCAGGTATATATAGGTTTACCTTCTCTGAACATAGACTTAAATTTGTTTTAATGAATTGTTTTATGTCAAGATGTTTTCTTTTCAAACTAGCACCCCCTCATACTTTTTTTAGGTACACCAAAATCAAAACCAACCATGATTTTTTTTTTCTGTATTATAGGTCCTCTTCCTGATGGATGGGAACAAGCCATAACTCAGGATGGAGAAATTTACTATATAAATCATAAGAACAAGACCACCTCTTGGCTAGACCCAAGGCTTGACCCTCGTTTTGGTAAAGGTTCATCTCAAAACCTTTATTGACATTTTAAATTATAATTTTTTGTGTTTGAGTTTAGAGAACACATTTAAATAAAATTGTATTGACTCAGTACTAAAATATAATGCCTACTCAGTGTTTCCTAGTACTGTTTTTTTATCTTTCATTTTAAACTTGAGAAATTTATATTTAAACATCTTTTTAGCTTGTGTTGGGTTTGGGGGTCATAGTAGCTGACTAAGGAGAATCACTGTCCCTTTCACATTTGGGAGAAGCCCAGCAACCTTGTTGAAAATGATCTTTTTAGCTGTAATAATAATCAGGCTGTCATGTAACATCTAAAAGGTTGAACATCATCTTTTGTCAGTGACCTGGTGTCTACTTGTGTTTAATTTGTTAAAATGCAGAGCACTATCAAGTGAGTGCCTGGGTGTTAGTGGGTTTTTTTTCCCCATTCTAAGTGGGGGAGAGGGCTCATCTTAGAAATGGTCTAATGAAAGTATTTTCCCCTCTTCTCTGTTGGCTTTTTGATCTTTATTTTTATTTAAGAAATAAACAAGCCATATTCTCCTCCAGATTACATAAATAAATCTCTGTTTGCACAGAACTCTTTCCTCCCAAATGTGCACGTTTCGATAATCATGTACAAGTTTAGTGCCTTTCTATCCATATTTTTTTATTTTTACTGTTTCAGTTTCTTCAGTTGGGTTTCTGAGATATTTTTCCAAAGTCATGGAAAATGAATTTAAAAAGAAGCAGATAATTGTGGTTTTGAAGCTCTCTTCTTGGACTAGATGCAACTAAATGAAAACAATGTGCAGATCACTGAGTAGGTCATACGGAGGGGATGCGGAACCTTTGAAGCTTTACAGGGGTTGACCTAACAACAACTGTGGGGCCCTTACGGGAAAGAGGAATTAACTCTGTGATTGTCATCAAAACACAGCCCTGGGGAAGGAAGAAAAAGAAAACTCTGGAGCTAGTTGGGTAAAATAACTTCCCCACCAGGAACATTATGTGAACAGTTCTCCTGTGTCTTACGCATACATTTTTTCAAAAAGCGAGAAAAACCCCAAGTAGTATTAAGGTTTACCACAAACTGCCCAACTGGTCGTTTTTATGGACTTATTGAACCCCCTATTATTCAAAGTAAAGTCAGAGGTGGGGTCAGGGCAGAGACTGTCATTTTGACAGCTCTCTGGTTTAGTTTAAATGCCAGCCTTTTGAGCTTCAAGACTTGTTTAGTTGTTAAAAAAGTAGTATGTTAATAATTTGCAACTTCAGATTCTGTTTAATATTTGAATAAGTCCTTGTGGTTGACACAAGAAACGAAGTACTAGAAAATTTAATAAATGTTGCATTGCCATTTGTATAGACTGGAATGATAAGTCATGTTTCTTTAAATCATATTTAATGAGATTAATTGTACTTGTCTACATTCAAAAAATTTTGTAGATCCCCTCCCATAAGGTTATGAAAGATAATTATTAACTGCATAGATCAAGAATGAAAACAGCTTTTTTTGAAAAAGAAGATATTTTCAGTTAAAACTGAAATCAAAAGCTTTGCTGTAAGCTTAAGTAGGTGTGTTGATTATACCCACAGCTTGATCTTTTGTTTTGAGGTATAAGGTATTAAAAAAAAATTTCCCCCTACCTCCAGCACATGTACGCACAAGCATACAATTAGATATACCAGAAAAAGTTTCATGAAATTCTCTTACTGCATTAAGTTTCCCATTTTGGGCCCACTGTGTATGTGTATTCCAGACCAGCTTGACAACACGCCAAAGCCTTTTATTTTGTGGCCCGACTTTTAATCTGTTCCAGACTTTTTTCAGTCAGAGAGCTCAAGTGTAACTGAAGGGGAGGGGGGAGGGAAAAAGTTGTGCGTTTCTCTGATCTAAAGTGACAGCAAATAGAGACAAGCTGTTAGTTGCTGGATTTGAAGTTCTCCTTGAAATATGAAGTTCTATATGGTGGGTTATATTTATCTCTGCCAAAAAAAATATAAACTGTCCCCTTATTGCTGACCCTGTGAACCATGCAAACACAAATAAATTGTGAGAGTTAACTGTTTTCATGGATTTTGGGGTTTGCTTTTTCATATTCTCCAAATGTAATAAAGTATTTACCATTAGCTAAGTCAATATATATCTTTTATTTAGCCTCTTAGAATGGAAGATACACATCTCTGTAGAAGTGTAATTTTCTTATCTCCTTGAAATGTCAACTCCTTTTATATTTCCATTTTTATCAGATTCTTTCATTTAAATATTAAAATAATTTACTAGTCCCCGCACATTTCTCATGAAGCTAATAAATTATAATATTAAGAAATTAAATGCTAATTTGTTGGGAATTGGTTTTTTTAATCTGACTTTCTTGTTCTTTTAACATTGAAAAACTAATTTAGAGAATTATTTATAAAAAATGAAGATATCATACGGCAGTATAGATGCACTAATACTTGCTGAGCTTTATTTAAAAAAGGTTTTATATTGTTTATTTTTAAGGAATCATTAAAAATGTGTTTATTGAGCTGGGGATTTAGCTCAGTGGTTCTGCCCCTTGCCTCACAAACTCAGGGACCTGAGTTTTATCTCAGGTACCCTCCCAAATGTGTTTATTTAAAAATGGATCCCTGAGTATCATGTGGACCCTTAAATTATTTCATATAAACAAGTAAAAGAGACTTTAAGTTTGTTCCTTGGAGATGTTGTATCATGTTCTCAAGTTTAAATTTACTTTATATTGTAAAATTACTGTTTTTTATAGTACAGTTTTATGAATATTTAATGCTCTAATAAAAATGAGGAAATTATGTTTTCAAAATTAAAAAAAAAATCTGTGATCTGGGTGTGGTGGTGCACACCTGTGATCCTAGCACTTGGGAGGCTGAGGCAGGCAACTGCTGCTGAGTTTGAGGCCAACCTGGGCCACATAGTGAATTCAAGTCCAACTTGAATTACAGAGTAAGACCTCTCTCAAAAAGATCTACTCTAAATGTTAAGGAGAGGGGTGGGGGGTTTGGAGGGGTGCATATAATCCTAGCTGAGTCAGGAGGATCACCAAGAGTTCAAGGTCAGTCTGGGCTATATCCTGAGTCTCAAGGCCAGCCTGTAGTAGGGAGACCCTGTCTCAACAACAGAAACACAGTTAATAGACTGATCTTTTGTGTAATATTACTTCTCTGATTGTTTTTAAAGATACATTAAAATAACATTAGCAATTTGTATTTTTTTGGAAACAAGTGCTGATGGTACCACGGGATAAAGATATTTAATGTAGGACCAGGAGTTTAGCTCAGTGGTACTGTGCCTGACTCGAAAGAACAAGGTCGTGAGTTAAGATTATCGGCACCAAAAAAAAAAAAGATGTTTAATGTAAAGAAAATATGGAAACCAGAGGTTTGGGGGAGCCATAAATATCTGTGAGTCTGAAAAGCAGTAATGAATGATATTGGTATGGCATAAAAGAAAGTATCCTTTAATTCCTAACTAATTTTTGCATGGTAATGTCAAAGGTAATTAAAGGTCAGATGTTGATTAATACTGATTAAAAATTTAATTGTTAAGACATTGATTAACTTTTTTCTTTTTAAAGGCCCCGTATTTCTGCTTGCTGTTGTAATTTTTTTTTTGGGGGGGTACTGGGAATTGAAGTCAGGACCTTGCATTTGTGAGGCTGGGACGGTGCCACTGAGCTAAATTCCTAGCCCAGTTATATTTTTCTTTTGAATAGGTAAAGATGTAGCTTAGCGGTAGAGGTCCTGCCTAGCAAGCCTTGAGGCCCTGGATCACCCCCAAAAATGCACTTAATGACCAGCTAAATATTAATATTTTAGTGATAAGAAAAACCACCAAAGACTTCAGAAACTAAATCTGTTACTTCCTTAATGGCGGCTTGGGTAGAGAGAAACTAGTTATTTGAATTTTATCCTTGTGTAAATCTCTTGACATCTATGCATTAAAATCAGTGTTTGTTTTCATGTGACTCTTTTAAATTTTCCTGCTGCTGGGCACAGAGGCACACGCCTATAAACCCAGCTACTGTATTTAGGAGATTGAGGCAGAACAATCACAAGTAGTAGGCCATTTTAACCAATTTAGAGACCCTTACAACATTTGAAAAAGACTTGGAAATACAGTTTATTGGTAGAGTAAGTTCTTGTCTAACTGACACAAGGCCCTGGGTTTAATTTCCAGTTTAAAAAAATTTTTTCCTAGTCTGTTAGTAGTTGGTTATGGTCTATATATTAAGTACTGAGAATAGAGAAAAAAGTTTCACTGTTTTACATAAAAAGAACTATTGCTAACTAAAAATTACTAATTTTAAAGCCTTACAAAATTTGGCTTGAGGAAGGAATTCGTGACTCCTCTAATCTCTTATTTCTCAGTGGAAGGGGTGCTGGGTTGGGCAGGACACTCACTAAGTGTCGGGCTTACTAAATGCCATGTAGGTACCCAGTCATGATTCTCTAACCATCACCACAGTAAAAAATAATAATGCTGAGAGAGGCAAGGAATATTCCCCCAAACCTGAGTTCCTTTGAGGTCTAGGGAAACAATAACCTATCCAAGATTATATAGTTAAGTGACAGAACCAAAATCAGGATTTTTTTTACACCAAGAATTTATAAGACCTTTAGATTTCATGCAGTTATCTTTTAAAAACATGCCTAGTACACCAGTACTGTTACATGGGAATTTCAGAGGGAAAAAGACAATCCTAATTGCACCTATATCTTATATCGTGACTGATCTTGAGGGAATTACTCAAAAGATCATGAGTTTCTAATTATAGAAGAGAATCGTAAGATCTCTGATTGGAACAGATTTTGAAACTTATCTACTTGAATTATCTATGCGGTTCATTCCTCATCTCTATCACGTTCTTAAGAGACTGTCTACCAGTTTGACCTTTCTCTTGATTGGCTTCTTGCATTATAGGGCAGTCTTTTCTATTCAAGAAAGATCTAATTACCAGAAGGTTTGTGTCTTTATTACCCAGAAA